GGAATCACATTGATTTTTTAAAAATTAATTGTGGGTAAAATTGACATTTTGATAATATTGATTTCTCCAATTCAAGAACATGAGATGTTGGGGCCAGCAAGTGGTGTGGTGGTTAAAAGTGCTGGATTCCCACATAGCCAACTGTGGCTTGATTCCTGGACCTGGTGGCTTGTCTTCTCACTTTCTCTTTTTCTCTCTGGTCAAATTAAAAATAATAACAACAACAAATGGAATCAAATAAATAAATAATTCTACAAAAAAAGAACATGAGATGTCTTTCCATTTTTTTTGTGTGTTACACTGGATTTTTTTCAGTTTGTCATAATTTTCCTTGTCTCACTTATTAGGTTAAGTTTATTCCTAGGTTTGTTTTTCCCTACTCCCCTCAGTGGCTAATGTAAATAGAATTGCTTTTTCAGTTCATTCTCACTACATTTATCATTGATGTATAAAAATACTATAGACTTTTGTATATTCATTTTCTATACTATCACTTTACTGAATTTATTTGTCACTTTTAGGACATTTTTTATGAATTCTTTTGGGTTGTTTATGCATACAATCTTGTTGTCTGCAAATAGAGATAATTTGACTTCTTCTTTTCCTACTTGAATGCCTTTTACTTTACTTTCTTGTCTGATAGCTTTTGTTGTTGCTTTTCCGATTCCTTGAGATGTGTCATCAGGTTATTTATTTGCTACCTTTTATTTTTTTCTTGTGAGCACTAACTGCTGTGGGGTGTTGAAATCACCAACAATTAGTGTGTTGCAATCAATATCTCCTTTTGGATCTAGCAGTCTTTCTTTTATGTATTTGGGTGTCCTGGTGTTGGGTTATAAATATTTATAATTATTCATTTTTCTTGGCATAATCCTTTTAGTACTATATAGCATCCTTATTTGTCTCTTTTTACCATTTTATCTTGAAGTCTATTTTGTCTTCTATCAGAATCACAACTCCAGCATGTTTTTGGCTTCTGTTTTCATGAAATGACTTTTTCCAACTGTTCATATTCAGACTATGTCTTTATTAATGAGGTGTGTTTCTTATAAGCAACATATACAAGGTTTCTGGTATTTTAATACACTCAGCCAGTCTGTGTCTTTTACTTGGGAAATTTGATCCATTAACATTCAACATTATTGGGACCCGCAGATGGAGGAATAGTTATGTCACTGGACTCCCACATAGTTGATTGTGGTTTGAGTCCTGTACCTGGTGTCTTAAAACTCACTCTGAGTGTGTGTGCATGCATGCCTCAGACCCCGAGAGGAGAATGGAGGAGAAGGGATTGCAGTATTGCCATCCGCTCTGAGGGAGTGGTGATTTCTCACTTTCTGTTTCTCTGTCTCTTTCTGTCTCTCCAGACAACCACACACATCTTATACCAAAAATCTCTCCACACCCCCCCCCAAAAAAAACCCTCAACATTATTATTGATATGTTTGGATCTATCTTTGTTATTTCACTAGTCTTTTTTTTTTTTTTAGTTATTTTATGGCCCATTATTTTTATTTATCTCCCTTTTGCTTTCAGAAGCATAGATATCTCCTGAAATTGTTGGGAGATCACCATTTGAAAGATGACATGACAGTTAATCATACAAATCTAAAGGGAGTTGTCCACATTCTCCTTCCATACGCCATGTGATGTGCATGCAAAGGCTAAACCTTGGGAAGAATGAGGGAGTGGAGGGCAGCTAAATACTTATATCTAAGAATGTACACAGCATGGGGCTTTGTGGGAGGTGAGGATTGGCCGTGGAGTTCTGGGTGTCTTTGCAGAGTGCAGAATATACAAAAATCCCAACTGCGACCATGAAGACATTATTCTCTTCCTCTTGTTTTCTCTTCTCTCTCCACCCTAATCAGCTCTTACTCTTCTGCGCAACTATCCACATTTCTCCCAATTTCAAACTCCCAGTAGAAATTGAATTTTCCTAATATTTATTTAATACTTGACACACCATATTCTTGATTTGCTTCCTTTATCACACTAAAACCCTCCTTGAATTGGATTATCAGGCCAACCCATGGTATGGTGGCTAGGGGTAACTGGATCCCACTGAACCAGCTGTGGGCTCAAATCCAAGACCTGGTGGCTCGAGAAACACAATGGTACATATGCACGCAGGCCCCAAATACCAAAAGTAGGGAGAAATGGAGAAGTACATATTATGGTGCGACCATTCCTCACAGATGGTGGATTCTCACTTTCCTTCTCTCCCTCTCTCTCTCTCTCTTGCACATGCGCACACACACGCACGCACATGCAAGCACAAACATCTGACAAAATATTTTAAGAAGAAAACAGAGAAATTGTTAGCTAGTGGTATCCAAGTGCACTTACTAGTTACCTTCCTATTTGACCCACTGCAATACTGGAGGCCACTTCTCTTCCATCTTTTCTATTAGGACACGATTCTTTCCAGTTTTTTCCTCTCCTTTCTTGCATCTGCTTCTTATACTCTTTCATGGGCTCCTTTTCCTTCATCCACTTCTTTTAATGTGTCAGACTTCACAGGTCTCCACCATTATTCCCTCCTTTTCATACCAAAAACTCCACCTGAGTCATAGCTTATATTTCCATTATATCATTGGCTACTTACAAATGAATGACTTCCAAAGCTCAGATCTCCTTTCTACAATCTATGTAAATGTCTCCCACTAGACCTGTCTGTTTAAGGTTCCCACAGACATGAAAAATTTAAACAACCCTTAAATCACCATCTGTAGTGCCCCGTCAGGAAGTTCCCAAAAGACCACCAGGGTGCCATTCCGATGTAAACACACAAGGGTTGCTTTTATTCAGGCTCTAGCCAGGGCTCCCAATCTTACTGGCACAGCAGGTCAGAGTTGAGAGTCCTGGTGTTAGTTGGGCTGGGTTTTTATTTGGCTATTGGTGGGGGGGAGGTTGAGGGGTGTTGAGGAAAGCACTCAGGCAACAACACATCGGTTGTAGATTATAGGGAATGTAGCTGTCTCTGGTTGATTGGTTATTAAGTTGTTGAGTTAGGCAAACAGTTACTTTAGGTTTCTGGTATCTCCTTTGTTTCTTTCATTGGTCAGTCCTGGTGGGTGATGGTCTCATGACTTTTCCACGTGTCCTGCTCGCCTTTTTGAAATGGTGCCGTCCCTCAGCAAGGTGGGACAAAATGGAGTCGTGGGACAAAATGGAGTCGCTCTAGTTCTGCTCTGGTCCTTCATTTCCCCTTTTTCCAAGGACTTAGTGGAGCCCATCGTGGGTCCCTGTTATTGAGCTCTATCTGGTCCCAAGCAGTGACGGGCTGGCACTGGGACTTTAGTACCATTAATTGGACAGTGCTGATTGGCTCTCAGATGAAAGCGATCAACCTGCTGAGGATGCAGGGACCCAGGGCAAGGAGGAGAAGGAGAATTAGCAGGGGACTCAAGAGGGCAGAGACCAGAGTGGTGAGCCCAGGGGAGGAGTCGAACCAGGAATCAAGTCAGCCTTGGACCTCTTCACATTCTCTTTTATGTTTTGCGACGCCCTCCCTGATTTTGGCCATTGACTCCTTTACTACACCGGAGTGATTGATATAGAAACAGCATTCCTCTCCAATGGCGGCACAGAAGTTCCCCTGTTGGAGAAAAATCAAGTCCAGGCCTCTCCAGTTCTGAAGGACGACCTCTGTAAGGGAGAACAAGGACTCCTGAAGTTGAGTAATAGAGTCCTCTAGCCTGGATATGTCCTCATCTATAGCTGGAGAACTAAGGAGGAGACCCCGGTTCCTGTTCCTGCTATTCCCAAAAGGGCTGTGAGTGTGATGGCAGTGACTGATTCTTGTCTAACATGACTGAGGGATCCCTCTAATCTTTGATAGAATTCCTCAGCTGTATAATAGACGAATCTAGGGAGAAATTGGACTAACAGACAGAAATCACGTGTGTTGTTGAGTGTTGTCCCATAGATGTAGGGTGTTAACCCAGTGGTGCAAGACCACCATTTATCGGAAGGGGGTATCAAGTACTTGTCAAGAGGTGAAGAGAGGATGGTCTCATTACAGAGATACTGATACACTGGGGGGACTGTTCCCATACATAGCCCTTGTCCAGTGACTGCCTGGAGGGTTAGTTTGGGCAGTGCCTCATTGGTGCCACCTACAAAAGCCAGGGCTGTTTGATTCATTGTAGCTGCCAGGGGACGCAATGCCCTCATAATAAGGAGGCTCTGTCTTGTAGCACAGCCAGCAGGAGTCAGTGAGATCTGGTCTGGATGCATTGAGGACCTGGAAGGTCTGGTTCATCAAGTCCCAGAGAAGGTTTGGGTAAGAGTGGGATGGGGGGCTCTGAGGGGTAAATGCCTGAGTCGGCCGGTGAGGAGGTGGACAAAGATGGGGCAGGGGGCACGAGGACTGGGTTGAGCCCCAAGGCCTTGGTGAGGTCTAAAGGTTCAACTTTGAGGCACAAGGTTAACAGTAATCACTGATCATACCCCGACTGGTATAGGCAGATGCCCCAGGTGCGTTCAGATTCCCATGCAGTAATTTTTTTTCCCATTTTCCTTAAAGGAGATCAAGAGTGGTTTGCAGAGAAAGGTAGTGAAGGGACCTCAACGGCAGAGGGAGGTGTCTGTTGAGGCAAGCCCAAGGGTTAACCCATTGGGGCCCGATATGCAGGATATCCGAATTAAGTCATCTTGGACAGGTGGGACCCAGGAAATACTGCCAGAGGATCCTTATCCCCAGCTAGTACAAAAGCAGTTATCAGGGCCTCCGTGGGATGTCACCCGAGCCTTTGGGTGATTTCCTCCAGGATAGACATAAAAAGGGGTTGTCCTGAGAGAATTTCTAGAGGTGGGAGTGGCACAGCCAGAGGGGAAGAGAGAACGACTCCCGTATTTATGGTGGTGATGATGGTGCCTCCTGTTGGGAGGCCCTTGGAGTCCGTGGTCCACGGCCCGTAAACCAAGAACCCATGGCTTGGAGACAAAGGTTGAGTTCTAGTGTGGGCACCAGGCCCCGGGGCGGGGGGGGGGGGGACGAATGCAGTGGTGGTATTGACAATGTCTCCTGCAGTGGTGCTAGGAATGAGCCAGGTCATTTTGAGGAGCTGGTGAGGGGAGTCCCTTGCCTAAGCTATCCAGAGGAGGGAAGACAGTATTTGCAAGGTTCCACATGTTGAAGATTTAGCTTTAAGGGATTGTCCGGGTCCTTTGTAGATGTCCGTCCTGAAATGAGGTTGTCCTGCAACATGAAAGGGTCTGCTGGCTTGATGTGCGTATGATGGACCCAGGAGGCGATGCTGTCAACTTTGAGAGCAATGGGGGTGGTCAAGATGACTATGTAGGGCCCCTTCCAGCGTGGCTGGAGGTTTTCTTTGTGATGTCACTTAACGTATACCCAATCGCTGGGCTGGAACTGGTGTGGGCCTGCAGGAAGGTCCGTGGCCATGAAGTTGGCCAGGTTATTACCCCTGGCAACTGGGGAATCACCCTTTTGGTGACCCAGACAGTGAATGATAGCCAGCTTTTGGGGGAGCCAAATGACAGCCAACAGTGCCAAGATCTCGGCCTTGTTTTGTATAGTTTTTCCATCTGCAGTCAAGAGGCCTCATTCCCAGTATATGGCCCCATGTATGTGGGCTGTTGCAAAGACATAGTGACTGTTGATGCATAAATTGATCTTTTTGATCATTTTTGTCTTTGCCCAGGATTAAAGCTTTGGTCAGGGCTATCAATTCAGCCTTCTGGACCGATGTTCCCGCTGGGAGGGGCTCTGCCCTTGAAATCTCCCACTCTGAAACCACCGCTGCCCCCACATACCTCAGTGCCTTTGACACAAAACTGCTCCCATCCATACAGCAGGTGATTTCTGCATCTGGCAAGGGCTGATCTCTCAAGTCAGGTCAGATTCCATGAGCCTGTGCGAGGATTTCGATGCATAGTGGAAGGGAGTATCAAGGTCTGGGTCTGGCAGCAAAGTCGTGGGGTTTAAGGTTGTGGGTACCTGAAAATATTTTGGCAGGGTTTAGTAAGAGACTCTGATGATGAACAAGGTGGACATTGCTCAGCCATCAGTAGGGGGCTGCTGAAGAATTCTCTCAATTGCTTGAGGGGTGGAAAGGTAAAATTCTTGCCCTAAGGTCAATTCGTTAGCGTCCTTGATCAGAAGGGCAGTGGTTGCAATTATGCGGAGACACGAAGGCCAACCTACTGCAACAGGATCTAATTTTTTTGACAGATAAGCTACAGGCCTTTTCCAGGGCCCTAAGGGTTGTACTAGGACTCCCTTTGCAATCCCCTTATTTTCATCCACAAACAAGTGGAACGGTTTAGTTATATCAGACAAGCCAAGGGCTGGTGCCAAGAGGAGAGCAGTCTTGACTGGGTTAAAAGATTGGTCCATTCGCTCTGTCCAGATGACTGTGCCCAGGCTTTCCTTTCTGGTGGCAGTCAGCCAGCGTTGTCCGCTTTCAAGCTCATACCCCAGTTAGCTTATCTTTGGTTTACAAATTTGGGCCTTTTTGACTGAGGTCTTGTAGCCAAGGCTTCCAAGGGCTCTGAGCAAAGCATGAGGGCCCTGTAAACAGTCCTTCTGGATTTTGGCTACTACTAGCGGGTCATCTACGTACTGTAACAAGACAATGTCAGGATGTGTGGCTCGAAACTCACCCAAATCTTCATGTAAGGCTTCATTGAAGATACTAGGTGCATTTTTGAAGCCCTGAGGCAAGCGTTTCCAAGTTAACTGTCTGCTGAATCCACGTTCAGGGTCCAACCACTCGAAGGTGAAGAATTATTGGCTCTTAGGTGCTGGGGAAGGCTGAAGAGGGCATCTTTTAGGTCTAAGACAGTGTACCAATGATGAGTTGGAGGCACAGAGCTAAGGAGAGTATATGGGTTGGGCACCGTTGGGCAAATGTCTATCACTCTCTTATTGACCTCTCTCAAGTCCCGCACAGGTTGGTAATCACTGGAGTGAGGCTTTTTAACAAGCAGGAACAGCGTGTTCCAAGGTGACTGGCAAGGTCTCAATATTCCCTGCTCCAGCAGCCAGTGAATATGAGGGGTGATGCCAGTTCGGGCCTCCAGGGTCATGGGATATTGGCACACTCAGACCGGGTCTGCCCCTGGTTTAAGTTCTACAAACACTGGTGGCTGATGTGTGGCTAATCCCATACCCCCAGTTTCCGCCCATGCACTGGGGAACTCAGCCGGCCATTGTGCCATGCCCGGTAAAAGGGGGGGCCTTTCATGGGGGTTGGTGCAGTAAGTACTCGTCTTCCAAGCTGACAGTGAGGACATGTATAGTGCATGCAGACTTATCAAGGACTTTGGTGCCCCCTGGATCGAAGTGAATTTGGGCACCCAGTTTTGTTAATAAGTCTCTGCCCAACAACGGGTAGGGGCACTAGGGGATCACCATGAATGAATGGGATACCTTGCCTTCTCCAAGGTCCACCATTCTCTTGGTGGTCCAGGAATACTCATTTGTTTCTGTTGCTCCTTGGACCCAGGCAGTTGTGGTAGATAATGTGCCAAGAAGTGTAGGAGCACTGAGTTCTGAGCACTGGTGTCCACTAGGAAGTTGATGGGGGTCCCCTCCACTTTAAGAGTTACCCTGGGTTCGGGGAGGGGCACCGAACCTCGTATCCTCTATTCACTATGATAGAGAGTCAAGACAGGAGTACTGGAGGGAGGCTTGTCCTTCTGTTTTAGACAGTCCTTCACCCAATGGCCCTAATCTTTTTAGTAGGTGTGCTGGTTTTTCCCGAGGTGGAGGCAGCCTTTTTTATTAGGCCCGTTGGTATTTCCCCCCCGGGCAGTTCTTTTAGGCACCTCTGTTTCTCTTTCTGGTTTCCCACCATGAAGGCCAATAAGATTTTTGCTAGATTCCGAGTTTGGCGGTCATTAGCTTTGGCCTGTTTTTCCTTGGGGGTTTCCTGATTATTGCAAACCTCTTCAGCCGCCGTAATTAAATCTTGAATTTTTTTTTTTCTCCCAGCCTATCTAGTTTCTGTAACTCGTGTCTACTCTCCGGCACTGCCTGGTTAAGGAGAACCATCATGAGGGCCAATTTGGCCTCAGGGGCCTCCTGGTCCATAGGAGGAACAACTCTGAAGTGGGACAATGGCCTCACGCTGTGCTGCGGGAGCGACCTGCTATGTCCCTTCAGAACTAGGGCACTCTGTCCCCTCCTGGGGGTATCGCCGGAAGGCATCCGTGAGCCTTTCTAAAAAGGCAGCAGGACTTTCTTCCCTTCCCTGTTGAATGTCTCCTACCTATGCCAAATTGGTAGGCTTTTGGGCAGCCGCTTTGAGACCTCCCAGCAGAATCTGGTGGTAGACCTGGAGCCTCTCCTTACCTTCAGCTGTGTTGAAGTCCCATTCTGGCCAGGACGAAGGGAATTTGGTGTTGATAGTATCAGGATTGCCCACGGGCTGTCCGTTCTTGCCCGGGACTAGTTCACGGGCTCTGGATAGGATTCACTCTCGATCCTCGGTGGTGAACAGAATCTGGAAGAGCTGTTGGCATTTGTCCCATGTCGGCTGGTGGGTGAAAAGGACAGGTTCTAGTAAAGCTAAGAGCTCATTAGGATTTTCAGAGAACCGGGCATTTTGGGTTCTCCAGTTATATAGGTCAGTGGTGGCAAAAGACCAATAGTGATAAGCTGGTTTCCATCTGTGTCCAGTGGTCCTGCAGCTCGGAGTGGCAACACAATTGAATTTGCCAGTCTGGCCTGTGGAGGCAGAGCCCCCCACCTCCCTCCAGTGCTAGCAGTGGGGCCCTTGTTTTGCTCATCAGCTCCTGGGCGGGGCTGCGGCATAGGTTGGACTTCTCCCCTTCTCGTCCCTCCTTCTACTTTCTCCCACCTCTCCTTCCGCTGCTGGAACCAGGGCTGGTTAGGGAGGAGGGAAGCTCATGTTCTCTTCAGTTTTCCTTGGAAGATTAGACGCGGGGGAGTAGAGGCTTTGGGGAGTCTTCTTTCTCAGACTGCAAGGATTTTTGAGGGTGTTGGAGGCTGTAAGAAAGTCTCAATCCAGGGAGGGGGGTTAAGAATAAGATCTTCCCACACAGTTATGTTTTCTGCCTTCCAGATGGTTTATAAATCAAAGGTCCCTCCCGGGGACCAGCCAACGTTGAGAGCCAGCCATTCCGCTGTACAGAGAGTGGCAAACTTTTGTTTCTTAGCATCTAGACTAAGGTTAGGGGCCCTGATCTTAACATCCTTGAAATGGTGCATCATAAGTGTCACAGGGGAAGTCTGAGTCTGTCCCATTTTCATCAGGAAAATGTACACACCAGCAGAGATAGGTAACAAACACACAGACAGGACAAATGCGGCTGCACAGATGTTTTTCACCAAGTGAGGAACAACTCTGAAGTGGGACAATGGCCTCACGCTGTGCTGCGGGAGCGACCTGCTATGTCCCTTCAGAACTAGGGCACTCTGTCCCCTCCTGGGGGTCCTAGAACATCCTCTAGGACCCTAGATCAGCGGCCTGCCAGCGCATGTGCTAGACCGTTTCTGATTTATTACAGAGCTAGGGCCCTCAGATACCGAGCAGGACAAACACAGAGACAGTTTGGGGGATCCTGGTGGTCTGGAGGGATCCTGGACAAGCCCCCAAATGTAGTGCCTGGGTCGTGAAGTTCCCAAAATACCACCAGAGTGCTGTTCCAATGTAAATACACAAGGGTGGCTTTTTTTTTTTTTTTTTTTTTTTTTTTTTGGAGAGGTTTTTGCTATAGGGTGCGTGCACTCGCCAGACAGACAGAGAGAGACAGAGAGACAGAAAGCAGGAAATCACCCCCCAGGGGGGATGACCACGCCGCAATCCCTTCTCCTCCATTCTCCTCTCAGGATCTTGGGCACGCACGCACACACGCCCAGCGTGAGTTCAAGCCACCGGGTTCGGGACTTGAACCGCGGTCGACTACGTGGGAGTCCAGCGACATAGCCATTATGCTAACTGCTGGTCCCAAGGGTTGCTTTTTTTCAGGCTCGAGTCAGGGCTCCCAATCTTACTGGCACAGCAGGTCAGAGTTGAGAACCCCGTGTCAGTTGGGCTGGGTTTATTTGGCTGTTGCGGGGGAGGTCGAGGGGTGCTGAGGAAAGCACTCAGGCAACAACACATCAGTTGTAGATTACAGGGAATGTAGCTGTCTCTGGTTGATTGGTTATTAAATCATTGAGTTAGGCAAGAAGTTACTTTAAGTTTCTGGTACATCTACCCAGGGATTCCCAGAGTCTTGACAGAGCTTAGCCAGGGTGGATATAAGTTCATTCATTCAACTCTCCCAGAGCTCTGAAGTTGGTAAGCAGTTTGAAACTTCCATTTTATACCCAAGGTTTTTGCCACTCCCTGTATGATTTCTGCCACAAAGGCGGGGACATTGTCTGACTGATTATAAGGGGAATTCCAAACTGAGGTATAACTTCCTTCAAAACAGCTCGAGTGACTTCCTTGGTCTTTTCAGTTCATGTAGGGAAGGCTTCCACCCAGTGAATAAGTACAGACTAGGACCAGTAAGAACTTAAAGCCCAGGCAGGGCCGTACTTCTGAGAAGACTGCCTTTAGCAACTCCAGAGGAGTTGTCCCAGTGGCCTGTATTCTAGCTGGCCAAGATGGCCCCTGGGAGGGTTATTTCTGGCACAAGTCTCTCACCACATGCTCACAGTTGCACACAATGATGGTAGGTGACTCAAAAAATAGTATCAGCCTAACATGCTCTCTAGGTTAGTTTTTGCCCAGTGAGTCAATTCATGGTGCTGCTTTACCAATGAATATTCCTTTACTTGGGGTATGTATATTCTTTTATCTGGCCGTCTCCACCATCTGCCTTCTTCCAGGGTTGCTCCCTTTGACTTTACCTAGCCATGTTCATCAGAAGTATAAGGGGAGGGCCTTGGGGAGGCTTGTGAGTAACAACATGTTAGTCACAGTGGTCAGGGCCCAGCTGGTGGTGGCCTTGGTTATCTGGTCTACCAGCTGATTTCCCAGGGTGATGGCAACTTCCCCCCTCTGATGTCCCCTGTAATGGATGATTCCCACTTCCTTTGGCTCTGAGACTGCCTTTAATAATTGATAGATTTCCTCCTTGTTTTTGACTGTTTTTCCTTCTGCTGAGGGGAGTCCTCTCTCTCAGTATAATGCCCTATGAACATACAGGGTAGCAAGTGCATAGCATGAGACCATGTAGATAATTCACACTCTCATTGTCTGCCAATTTTTGGCTCAGATTAATGCCCAGAGTTCAGCCCGCTGAGCAGACCATCCTTGGGGAAGTGCCCCAGCTTTGATCACTGTGTCTTGAGAGGTAAAAGCATAGCCAGCATATTGAGTCCCATTCTTTATGTAGCTACTATGGTCTGTGAAGAGAGTGAGGTCAGGGGCCTTCAGTGGTGTGTCCATAAGATCAGGATATCCAGAAGAAAACCTCATCAAGAACCTCTTCACAATAGTGGTCAGGAGGCCCCAGTATCACTAGGAGAAAGCTAGCAGGGTTGAGCATCTGCATAGTCTAGAGTCTAATTCAAGAATTTCCAATTAGTAGACCCTGGTACTGGGCCATCCTAGAGCTAGCTAGCCATTTATATCCCCTTGTGTTCTTCAGTGTGGTCACTGAATGAGGGACCCGGGCATTGATAACTTGGCCCAAGGTTAACTTGTCTGCCTCTTTAATCAACTTAACAGTGGCAGCAAGAGCTCATAAGCAAGGGGGCCATCTAGATGCCATTGGGTCTGGTCTTTTAGACAGGTAGGCAATAGGTCTCTCCCAAGGCCCAATGGACTGAGTCAGAACTCCTAGTGCTGTTTTGTTTTTCTATTTTTTTCCTACATACAAATAGATTGAATCCCCGAGTGACATCTGAGAATCCTAAAGCTGGATCTTTCCC